AAGTCAGCTCCTGGACCCCACCGACAGCTGAGCGTAGCGGCAGCTTGGAGTGCTGTGTTGCGCGGTGCTGTGTCCCTGGGACTCACCAGCCAGCCGTCCACCCTACTGTGACCCTGCTCTAAGGGGGGAAGTAACACTCCTGAGTGTGACACCTCAGACTGTCCTCTGGCGTCCACATGCCCCTGCACATGTGTGTGAGTCTGCACACACATGTAAACGTATACAAAATGTGCCTAAAATTAAAATAAGACAATTTTATAGTGATGTTTTTGAATTAGGTGTTGTGGTGGACCAAGTATCAGTCAAATACGATCGATCCCGGCAGGAACGACAGTGAGAATTCTTGTGGGGCGTGTCAGTCTGTGAACGTGTAACATTATTGCACGCTACCTCTGTTTCCTTATTTTGGCATGCTACTGCTCTTATTTTTCAGGAGGCGCCACTGTCCTGGCCACAGAGAAGCCAACCATTATAGACAGCACCATTCAATCAGGTACCAAAACCTCAGGTGTCTAGATCCCATGCGTCCCTTCTAATCCCACTCTCAAAGCAGCGTTGCCGCACTTTCTGGCTTCAGGGGCTCCAAAGACCAGGAGAGCGGGAAAGCTGTAAAGGCCACATGCTGTTGGTCCCCAGTAAGCCCCAGCAAACAAGGTTCCTTTTCTCATCAGTCAGTGCCGAATGACAAGTCCCAGCTACCCCCCAGGGAACTGAGAGACATACTTTGTTTAATTGCAGCACAGCTCTGATGTGGCCTGTGTTTGCAAACTAGAAGAAGGAAATCTCACAAGCCACAGCCTAACTATTTATTTTCATCACCATTCTGCAAAATCAAGAGGCGCAAAGTTTGTCTGTTGCGCCTGCCACAGAGTTGGCAGTTTTACAACAGTGCTTACAGTGGGTGTGTCACGAGACTGGCTCAGGAAACCAAGGTTTACACTGTGCCTGGGCAGGGAAGCACCCTGGGAGCAGCCCCTTTTCCTCCAGCTCAGAGGAAAACCCAAGGACTCTGTGCACCAACAGTGCGGGTTATCAAAGGCTGCCCGCTTTTGTTTTCTGTTACTATTCTGTGGCATTCTTCCCCACAGACTCACATGAAGGGAAGCAGTTGTATAAGCAACCAGAGCGTTTGTTTTTTTTTTTTTTTAAAGACTTTGGAGTTAATCATTAGAGGAAGGTGAGAGGGTCAGCTTTCCAGATTCTTCCATTTCCTTTATTGAAGTTCATCCAGGCTTGGCCTCTGCAGTCATTTATTAATGGACCGTGTGGTGTGTATCAATGTTTCCTCCATACTGTGACTGCCTCAGAGAGGACTAGAAAGGACTGCCCTAATTAGCATGCTTCCTTAAAGGCCACTGCTACCATTGACCTGATTAAACCGCAAGGCAAACTTCTATGGAACTTTCCCCTAGTTTTCTGGAAGTCAACTGACAAAATGCTTGCTTCCACATAGCCTAAAACCCCTCAGACATTAGGCAGAGGAACAGTCACCTAAATCCCCCAAATGTTCATACCTTCCTAGATTATAATTTGAGTTTAGGGGCTGTAGCCTGGCATGTTGCTAGGCTCTGAGCCCAGGCCCTAGCAGCCCTAACAAGCTAGGTTTGGTCACCCATCCTCAACAGGTCATTCAAACAAACAAGTAATAGCAACAAGCAGAGAAAGACAATTTATTCAATGCAGACACATTGGGAAGAGGCCCAGTGACCCTGAACTCCATCTTAGAGATTCTGGCATGCCATTTATGTTTAAATAGAAGCAAGAGGTATGCCATCAGCCCGTGTGAAGTCTTCCCAGAGATCAAGTTCTCCCTCTGGCTGGCCCAGGCCTTTCACCCCCAGCATGAGATGTGTGGGAAATTCCAACATTGCTTTAGTAGTGTGATGACAAAGGGAAGCAGCCACGTGTCTCTTAGCAAATATCTCACTCTCACCAGGCTATTACAAGGAGTAAAGCCCTGGTCTGCATGTCCTTAGTGGGGCTTCCCGGAAATGGGACTGTGTGACTGTGGCTGTCTTTGTCCCTCTAGAACCAGGAAGAGGACAAAGCAAGTGAAGTTCTGATGATACCACATACGTTTTAACAGCTCTTCTAGTTTCTTCTCTTGCCAGAAATGATTAGGACCACTCTGAAGTACTGAGCTCCTTTTCTTCATTCATCTAACGTCTCACCTATTAAAAGAGCATAGGTATCTTTGAAAGGAATGAAATTGAAGGTCATGGTGGCCAAACCAGGTGTGGTTTTGGCAACACAGTTGCTTTCACGGGACCTCTAGGTTGTTCTTGTGAAGGTCTTATAAACAGGGGCCTGTCAGCCCTCTCTCAGGGTCTTCTGAAGTCAGAGGGCAGGTGTACAGAGCATGAATCAGTGGGACCTGTTGTTATCACTATCTAGACAAGACTGGTTCAGACAGCCCAGCTGAGCATAGAGGTAGACAATGTGCATATGGCCTCTTGTTTATTCCATTATCTGATTTATGAATCTGGTCTCTGCCTCCTCTCTGGAGGGTCATGAACTGTGTGACCTTTGAAAGATATCCATTCACTATAACCTTCTGGTTAGGTCACTGCATGGACCTCACAGGGACTTCCAGACAGAGGTCCAGCTCAAGCTTAGGATGGCCACACCTAAACTTTGATGCACTCAGGCTTCCCACACTTCACAGGTGACAGCAGACAGGCCCTAAGTCTTCATCAAAATTCTATTTTCCTGAGCAGTTAAAACTAAACAGAATTTATGTTTTGAGGGCTGAGGGGACAGCTCAATGAGTAAAAGCAAGCTTGAGGAGCATGTAGAAATCAGGGCATATGGAGCAATCGTGGAAGTGGAGACAAGCAGATCACAGTGGCTTTGCAGGCCTAGCCTACTGGGCAAGTTCCCGGACCCAGTGAAAGCCTATCATAAAAAACAATATGGATGGTGCTTGAAGAATGGCATCTGAGATTGGCCTCTGACACACACACATGCATTAGCAGGTAGATCTCTGCACACAAACACAGAGAGGAAAGGGTGGGGAGAGTTCATTTTTAAGGATTCTTAACAATATAATAAGCTCAGCAGGAATTCAATATTCATATTGCCTAGGTTGTCATCAGAGGCATAAAAGGCTGTTGATGCTTGGGCAGAAAGTGCCAAGACCCCTGTTTAATGCAGTTCTCTTTGCAGAGGACTTTCACCCTTGAGGGTCTTTTTACATCACCACAGCAGCTCACAGTAGGTTGGTGACTTATGATTGTGTGGGCTTCCGTACCCTGCTTGCTTGAACTTTAGGCCCAGCTGATGTCTAAGCTGTGATCATACTAGACAGGAGCCTTGACTTGAAAATTAAGTCCTTGCTTACATCCTGTGCTTAATGACTCAACTGCAGGCAAGATCAGTTCAGCAGCACAGCTGCCATTTGCTCACAGAGGCCATAAATTGCTTTAAGCTCAGAATATTGTTTCCTGCTATTTTTAAGAAGGGATTTAGTCCAATTATTACTATTGAATTTAATGAGAACTGCGCACAACTCCAGGATCTGGGTAATAATTTAAAAGCTTAGCTGTCAGTGTCCTTATATCTTTGTATCTTTCCTCCACTTGACTTTATTTGCTTCCTCTCTCCCTCTTTTATTATTCTTTCCTGATCCCTTTGCAGTGTTCTTTCACCCTCTACAAATGTTCTGTCGCCTTTGTATCTGGGCTTGAATTGTCAGCACTGAGCTACACATTCTGCAAACCAGATTCCTGCCCCTCTAAAATGCATTCATTAAAAAAAATGAATTAGATGGGCATAAGCTATTAAAACAGGACAAGAAGTCAAGAAGGTTCAATACAATGTAAAGGTAGATCCCTAGTTAAATTCTAGGACTGGCCAGGCCACTGGGAGAAGAAAGTGGCCTGCTACCCACTAGGAGAAGGGCAATATGAGGAGCATCTTTCTTCTTGTCCTAGTCACTGCTAAAACACCAAGTTCATAAGCTTTATGATGCCATCAAAATGTTAGCCAACATAGTGTATGCACGGTGTGATATTTTTTTGGACCGTGGAGCAAAGTTTATGTGTTAGCTATGTGAAGGCTTTCCGCCCTCTTGAATATCTTACAAAACAGACTGAAGGAAAAAAAAAAAGTCCAAACCTCACACTTTCACATCAGCATTTCCTACCATGAAATTGCACAATAGTACATTCAGGGCAAGGATGTTGACCATGTCATCTGCAAAAGTCAGTTTTGCTACCCAAGGGCAGTAACTTCAGGAGAGATTTTTTTTTTTTTTTGAGCCTTATAAAGTCCCAGTTTATGCTTTAGTATCTTACACAAGAAAAGCCCCTCTCCTTTGACACTCAAGCTATCCTTTTGCATTAGCTGAGCATGCGCACAATGAACACTTCACGTGATCAACTTCTCTTTTGGAACAGCTCTGCCCACCCTTTGGGTGGTCACCTTACCTCTTTATTATAAGGACTTACATCTCACTTCCTTCTGATTATTCAGATGGTGAGTTCCTTACAAAATCCGACATTTGCACTTGAAAACCAAAACATGCAAAGCAAATCGTCCTTATCTATTTACTAAATCTTCCTATTAAAATCCCTCCCTATATTGTTAATGGGGGGAGGGGCACTGGAGAGAACTGAAAGAGCAATAGAAGAACTTTGTGTTAAACACTTGGGGAAATTAAAGAAATGCTCAAAAGGAGACCTGCTCTCCGCCTGACCCTAAGACATCCCATAATAGCAGGCTTTCCTTTATTTTTACGCAGCAACTCTTTTTAGACTCCACTTGAGTTGGGCAGACCGCCCTGATGCAGCTCTGTCTGACTCAATACTTCCATCTTGTGGACGCCTAGTCTCAGGCTTGTTCTGCGTGGGGACAGGAAGGCACAATGAATGATCTCATCTTTGGAATAGTTTTTAGCCTCTGCTGACTCCTACTCCTGCCAAACAACACTCTACTATCACTGTTTTTTTGTTTTTGTTTTTCTTTTTTTCAGTACTTACAAACTCGAGGGCCTTTCATAGAACCGGTGGAATATATGAAAGACTTTGGGGTTAAAGAGAACTGAGGTCAGACGCCTTCCTACAAACCCATTTATGCTTTCAGCTTCCAAAGACAGCATTTGGAAAAATTTTTAAAGTATTTCTGAAGGGTCGATGTTTAAATGAGTTGGGGCTTTATATGACCTCAAATTGAGGTTTTAAGTGGAGTGAACAATTTATATGCAAATTTAGAAATTCACTAAAGAAAGGATTTATTCTGAAATTAATTGACCTTGTGGAAAGCACAGAAGAAAAAAAAAATAATCTCAGCAAAACGCTTCAGTCATTCCTCCCTGACACAAGTCTTGGTTCATCAGCTGGTGTGATGAGAAGGGATTTCAGGGCCAGGCTTCCTGCCAAGGCACATCCCAGCTTTGGAGCCTTACAACCAATCTCTAATAAGAATCCTTTCATTGATGGATATCAATGTTGATGGTTCATCCTCAATAAGATTACCTTTCATGTTGGCTGTTGTGCAAAACAGGGAAAATGCCACTGATGCCCAAATCACATGTAAAACTTGGAAAGTAGCCTTCCCGGAAGCCTTACATAAACCCAATTTGATGGGCAACCCTAACCTTTTTAAAGTTTAACAAAAAAATGATAATATTAAATGTGACTTCACAAACATTGTGAGTTGTTCATGTGTCTGTTAGTTTCTTGGTAATCATGGGTTTTGTGGGTTTCCTATAGCTTTGGAACAAATATGGAATTATCTTTCAAAGAATGTTTCCCAGGAGAATATTAATGGCCTTCCTGATGCTGGTGGTTAATTCTCCCTTTGTGTCTGTCTGTCCTTCCCCACTGAAGAGTTCCCAACATACGGCTTTAACTGTGAGTTTGGCTGGGGTTCTCACAAGACATTCTGCCACTGGGAGCATGACAGCCACGCACAGCTCAAGTGGAGTGTGCTGACCAGCAAGACAGGGCCCATTCAGGACCACACAGGTAAGAGTGCTGCCACGGCTCCGTGCTAGGCACACCTTTGGTTACCAGGGACAGTTCCTGACAGCTGTAGCTTTATACGGGTGAGAAGCAATACTAGAAGCATTCACTGGTGGGTTTGTTTTCTGGAATTCTCAAGGATTCTTTCCTCAGTGGAGAGAGGCTTGGGGCAAGAATAGAAATTCTGACTGAGTCTGACCACTGGTTAGCCTCCCTCAAAAACAAAGTGAGAAAGGATGGGAGAGCCATGCTTACTTTTACCAACGTCAACGTTAGGCATATTCAGTGAACTCAAATTCATTCTAGTTTTTCCAGACTTTTACTAAGGACAACTTTAACCATTTTCAGTAGTAGGGAACAAAACAGCTTAAAACCAGGCATGAGACATGCCTGCAATCCTAGTACTCAGGAGGGGCAAACCGGAGGATCTGAAGTTCAGGGCCATCTTGGCTACATACGGAGTTCCAGGCCTGCATGGCCATGTGAGATCGTGTCTCAGAAAAGACACACTAGTGCCCAGTGTCTCTTTGTATGCAAGCATGCCTCCTCAGTGACTGCAGCCTCCCAGACTCTGCAGCAGCGCATGACCAGGTGGCTGGGAATGGAACGAGTACAGACAGCTGTACTCACTGTGTTCCCCACACACCCCACCTCACACCACACTCCTGAATTGTATTCAGTAGCACCCCATGAAAAGACTCCTAAATTAAGTGTTTAGGGTGCTGAAGTAGCCCTAAATTTCCACATGCCAGCTCTGGGGGTGGCTGGTTTATGGACTTCCAGATGGGTACAAGGTACCCCACCTCTTTCCCATACTGCCACTCACTTTTCTGTGATGAAGAGGCCTCTTTCTGCCACAGCTACCTCCTTTCCTAATGAGAGTGACAAGGAAATTGGATAAAATTGGACTCCTTCAATTCCGAGACACTTTCCATTGAATCTTAAGACAAGCGGTTTTAGAAAACTTAAAATACTTTGACTGTAAATGGCGCTGTACACATAAATGGCATCAGATTAACTAAATGCAATTAGCTGAGATGAAGGCAGTAATGGTGGAAAAATGGATGCAGAGTGAAGTGAAATGGCTCAGTAGGACCTGACATTCAAAGGGGGTGAAAAGCTACGTTAGCCAGAAACAAAAGCTAAAAGGCTCAAAGAAGTGGAGTGCTAACTGAGAAAACGAAGACACAGTTCCCGACCCAGAATCTGATAGAATGTCTGAAAGGGAAACAGCAGTGCTTTGTGCACTGGAGAATCAGAAGAAGAATACATTTCTTGGATTCGCAGTAGATAGAGAAGGGTGATTCCTTCGGACTACGTGGCTCCTTTGTTTTCCCGGCCACTGAGACTGACTGGCAGTTGGCTCTGCCTTAATTAGAAAGAGCCTCCCATTGCATGAGAGAAATGTGATCATCTGGGAGAGGTAGGCATGCCTGGCAAGGAAAAGGTAGGAATGTGTGTACAAGGAGCAATCTAAATGAAAGTAGCCCCCACCTGCTAACTCTCATGAACTTGGGTTTTCACTGGATATTGACTTTTTTTTTTTTTTTTTGAGACAAGACTCATTCATGCCAGAGGTGGTCTTAAATTCTCACTTTTAGCTGATGACAACCTTGAGTTTCTAATCCTCCTGCCTCTATCTTGGAGGGCTAGGGTTATAGGCATATGCCACCACACCCAGATTTATATGGTGCTGGAGAATGAGCCCAGGGCTTCATGCATGCTAGGCAAGCTCTGTACAAACTGAGCTATAACTCCAGCCCTGCACTTTCTAATAATACTTGGAAGCTAGGCACAGTGCTGCTCGCTAGATTCCTAGCCCTTAGCATGAAGACACAAGTTCAAGGCCAGCCCAGGCTGCATAGTGAAACCGCTTCTTAAAAGTAATGCTAATGATATTTGAAACTTTACAAATTAAACGTTGAAGCATTTTAAAAGTATTACTGCTTAAGTAAAAATTTTTTTTTTAAATTTTTTTGAATGTACAAGAACCCCACTGTGTTTTGTGCCCTTGACTATAGAAATGGATCTGTGGACCTCTTTATAAACAACTCCAGCTTTGAACAAATGTTGTTGAAGCAGGCTGTTTATCTGCAGCTGCTGTGCTCAGCACTGGAAATATAGGTACAATTAGCTCCCATATGTGTCTCACCTTAAATGGCACGATGTTTGCATAAAACCTACCTACATTTACCTTCAGATAAAAAGATTTACATTTTAATTATAATACCTAATATAATAAAAATGCTGTGTGACTCCTTATTGTGTGTTTTTTAGGAGAAAATTGGTGTTTTTTCAGTATGGACATAATTTGCAGTACTTTCTATCTGAAGCTTGTTGAATTCAAAAGTCCAAAGGACTTGAACATGAACTTTTTAAACCCATAATGTCTGTGGATGCTGAGGGAGGCTAAAGAGGAGGGCCTGGTGTCTAGTAGCAGGTGGAAGCCATCACAGTGTGGCTGTAGGGTGCTCAGTGGCAGGTGTGCAGTGAGCGTAAACGAGAACCCCGTCGGTTCAGGGAGATGGTTCTACAGGAGAGTGCCTGTCATGAAGACAGGAGGATGTGAATTGAGATCTCCAGCGCCTACATAAAAGCCGGGCATGGCCTGTGCACCTATAATCCCACTGTTGGGGAGACTAGAGGGTCTTTGGGGCTGATGGTTAGCCAGTCTAACCAAATCAGGGACTCAAGATTCACAGAGAGACTAGTCTTAAAACGAAGTGGGAAAGTGGTTGAGGAATGCCCACCATACATTACTGCCCCCCCCCACACACACATGCATCATGCACACACATAGACTCGCATGTAATTATAACTCAGGAGATCAAAGGAAATTTCTCTGAGAGATAGTACCAGAGTGTAGTTGGGATAAAAGCTTCATGTGCAGCAGTTAGACTGGTGGCAGAGTACGGACCACATAATCTGTTTCCTCCCTTCAACATTCTGACTTTGGTATTTTTCCCAAAGGATCAATCAGGAGGCAGGCACAGGACAGGTGTAGGTTTTCCCTGTGCATCTCAGTGGACCAACCTGCCACTCACTGAGGCAATGATATTGTCACAAAGACAGACACCAGGTCTTGGCAGGGGAATAAGAGAAACCCAGGAGTACCAGAGTCAGCAGGCACTGAGGGTACACGCCCCACAAGGGCAGAAGGAAATGCCCTGTAGTGGCTCACACACATCTGGAGCAGTGACCTGTGTCCACCCTTCCTTATGGCTCCATTCACTGACTTAATAAGAGCATCTGTGAGAGCTGAGGTTGATTGCCCAGTAAGGGAAGAGAGCTGCCTACTGAGACAATTAGATACTCAGATACTACTGAAACCAAGCCTGAGGACATGCCCTCACATGCACAGTGAAAAGGTACCTCACAGGTTTGCAAGTCTGTGGGGCCATGAAGGAAACACCCTGCCGCCCTCTAAGACCTGGCCGTCACATCATATTTCCAGTTACATCAGGCAAGGTGTGCAAGTTTGTGATTCCTATTCATAGAGCAAAAGGTGGCCCACAAGTTGTGTGTTTAGACCAGGTGGAAGCAAGAACAAATGTTCCCACTGGGGGTGATTAAAGCAGAGCCAACAGCAAGTCCTCATGGCGCCACAACATCTCCATTGCCAAAACAGCATGTTCAAATGAGCCTTAGAAATACAGACTTGCTTCTCTTTGGACCAGAAGCCCAGCAAACAAAAGCAGGCTCTCAGGTGAGAATCAAATTCTTGGGCACAGTTGAGAAATCCATAGACCATTAACATAAACAGAATGGAAAATAAGAACAATTTCTAAAGATGTGTAGAGATTAGTGAGATGGCTCAGATGGGGGGAAAAGTTCTTGCTTTGTAAACACAAGGATTCAATCCCTAGAATCCATGTTTGAAAAAGGTGTGGTGGCATAGACTTGTCTCCCTAGCCCTGGGGACAGGTGTTTCCCCGAAGCTTGCTGGCCAGCAAGCCCATACTGTTTGTGGAGTTGTAAGCTATTGAGGCTGTCTCAACAAACAAAGAGTAGCCTCTGAAAAATAATACCCAAGGCTTTCCTCTAGCTTCTACATGCACAGTATGAGCTCCTGAATACATGCGTGCACACAAACACATGCATACACACACACAGTCACACACACAAGAATATATAACTGTATCATTTGGAAAAGTGCAATATCAACAAGCCACATTTAGCAGCCAGCAGATTTTCTTCCCAGTGATTGACATCTTAGCTAATGCCCAGGGTATCTGAGCATACATGGATGTGCTGAAACTTTCCGCAAAGTCTGGAGACAGACTCTGTTTATAGTCTAGCTTTGATAGTATAAAAACATATAAAATTTGTATGCTGGTTCACCGTGATACCATGATCCAGGTAAATAGTACCCAAAGTCCATTCAAAGCCTCTTAGAGCAGGGACACCAGCGCCTATGGGGTTCGCAATAATTGCATCTATTATTTCCACAGGCTGCTTGGTTTTTTGGTCCCACCCAGGAAAATGTTTGTATGGGTAGTACTTGACAGGAGAGAGAGGGAAGTACTATAGATTTTGCTGGTTTCCCTGATACAGAGTTTTGCCTCAGCAGGAGATGGCAACTTCATCTATTCCCAAGCTGATGAAAATCAGAAGGGCAAAGTAGCCCGCCTGGTGAGCCCTGTGGTCTATTCCCAGAGCTCTGCCCACTGCATGACCTTCTGGTATCACATGTCTGGCTCCCATGTCGGCACACTGAGGGTCAAACTGCGCTACCAGAAGCCAGAGGAATATGATCAGCTAGTCTGGATGGTGGTTGGGCACCAAGGAGACCACTGGAAAGAAGGACGTGTCTTGCTGCACAAATCTCTGAAACTGTATCAGGTAAGAGCCCTTCCACAAAGGGAGGGCTGTGGCTGCAGGACAGTGGGATAATGTGTGAAACTCCTTACCACCCTGAACTGTTGCCTCTCTGATGTTTGTCTTGGTGACAGATCTCATTGTCTCTTAGATGGCAGCAGGGAAAGGGAAAAATCCTTCAGCATAACTCATTTCCAAGATGTCACAAATACCATCCCTCTCACTTAAATATTTCTTCCTTTTTAAAGTTTGTCTTATGAAAAATGAATGTGAACAGAGGTTTGAATCATCTCTGCCATGATAGGGAAGATTGAGTAACTCTGCTGTGTCTATATGCAATCTCATGTGTTTAACTTTTGTGCAAGCTCATGAATTTAACTTGCATGCAGTCTCATGAACTTATGGCAAAGCTTCAATTGAGAGAGTGTTTGTAAATATTGATGTTGAAGACAGAACTTTAAAATATTGTGAAAACCATTTCATTTTTTCAGGTTATTTTTGAAGGTGAAATCGGGAAAGGAAACCTTGGTGGGATCGCTGTGGATGACATCAGTATTAACAACCACATATCTCAGGAGGACTGTGCAAGTAAGGATGAAAAAAGTCTTTTCCCTGCAGGGTTCTTAACAAGTGATGGACTTTGCCTTGTCTTAGACCAGAATTCACATGTAAGCAGGGCATAGAAGTGGGCCAGTTCATCTTCACTTACTTCGTCATTTAACCTAGTCACCTAGAAAGTCTGATTGATGCCTCCAGAATCTAAAGACTGTAGCTTACATGTCATATCTGGCATATGGAAACATTTTGATGGTGAGTAGAACACACAGACATCTGGACCATTCTGATATCTGAGTGTGGAAACAAAACAGTGGGTCTTCGGACATGTTTATCGCAGAGAATTGAATTAGTGTTACATTGCCAATCAGTCACAGACACTAACATTCATCACTGTAGTGTAAATAAGTAGATGCTTCTGACTCTGCCGCTAGCTAATGTGACTTGGCGATTCAGAGATCTGCCTAACAGGGTTGTCATGATGACCTTGTACAATCCACACATGAAAGTCAGACATAGAAAGCCAATTCATCCCAGTTCTTGATCCATAATTACAAATATCATCACTAATGACAATGTAATAGCACAGTAATTAGTCTTAGGCTCCATTTGCTACACTGAAACTTTTGTTATACATCATTACATAATAGGCTGTTAATTATAACAGAATGGAATAAGCCTGCTGGGCCAATTGAAGACAAAGGAGGCCTGTTGGCTGGAATGGGTTTTTGGTCATTTCCACAACTTACACGTCTTTTATTATATAACACATTGAATATATGTAATCCTTAAATGGGAAATAGTTTGATACCGTCATTGAAGAAACTGAAAAAGAACAACAGTGAATAATGATCTGCTTTTCATTCTACATTAGGAAACCTCTTCAATGCCATCCTATCCAGCAGTTTCACAAAATGATACAGTTTAATAGTTTGGCTGACATTGGTTTTTTTTTGTTTTTTTTTTTTCAAATGACTCATTACTATGGCTATCTGGTAATTCGAATGTATATTTCCAATAGTTAACCCAGTATGTGTAATACTGTGTTCCTCTCCCAAATTGAGACTAAGAAGGGGATGTTTCAGGGATAGAAAAGCAAATTCCATGAATGAAAACAAAAAGATAAACTCAGTTCAGGCCATTAAGTTCTATCTGGCTGGGTTCTATATACGGAGCAATGTGCCAAGTTGTACATTGAATTAAATGGACGCTGGCTTGTGAGCTTTTTCCTTTAATGGCTTTGGCCTACTTAGATGAACCAATAAAGAGTGGTCTAAAAGGGCTGGTGATACAAGCTGAAGACATGAGCTGGATCCCTAGGACCCAGGCACAGGAGCACACACACAGAACCTCAGCACTGGGGAGGCAGTCACAGGTAGAGCCCTGGAGCTCATGGGCTGACCAATCTACCTGAATCAGTGAGCTCCAGGTCCACTGTCTCAAAAACTTAGATGAAAAGAAATTGAGAAATGATACTTGATTTCAACCTCTGGCCTTCATATGCATATGTACATAATTATATAATTATTCACTAAATATATCTTATTGAACAATCTAGTCATAGGATCTATTAGTACCAACTGCAGATGAACCATTCATATGTACAGATTTACTAAAGTACTTATTATGTATAACACAAGATTTTAAATTCAGGGATACAGGACTCAGGGCTGTACCCAGCCCTAAGGCTCCACTTTGTCCATAAAATTTTATTTTACTTATTTCTGATAAAGCACCGGAAGAACTTTCCTGGCTCAAAGAGCCATTGCGCTATTTCAAAAGTTAGTTTAGCACACACCAACAGTAGGAAGCAGCTATCAGCCTCCTACAGCCTCATAGTGATGGATCCATTCCCATTTGTGTCTCTCATTTTCATCGTTCTTTCACGTTCCACACGCCAAAACCTGTCCGTCTGCCCTTCACAGTGTTTTAATAGCATTTCTGAGTCACGTAAAGGAACACTTTGTGACCTAAACTACGGAAGCCCAGCAGAAAGGTTGGAAGGTTTCCATTGCAGTAGGTGCTTATCATATCGGATTTATTTTATTGGTAATGTAAACATCGCTTCATTTTCTTGTCAGAACCAACAGACCTGGATAAAAAGATCACGGAAATTAAAATTGATGAAACAGGTAAATTCATCTCACTCACCAACCTCTTTACTTTCTTGTGGCTTTGCTGTTTGTACAGAAATGTCTCTGGAATCTTAAAACGCTAGTATGGCCAGGCAGCTCAGAGAAAATGGGACCCTGTGCTTAGGGGAGTGGGTGTGGATTGGATCTTTGTCTGCCCCTAGCTGATAGGAAGTTGGGGGTGCCACTGTGAGGTTGCACTCCCAGGAGTGAGTATGCCCCATTCCTCCCTGCCTGAAACAAAAATCACAAAACGGAAAATTGTGGAGACTATTCATGTAGTCACTTGAAGCCAACAAATTCTTGTGCCTGTTCACCTCCCAGGCAGAATCTTGAGGAGCCTGCCTTCTCTGAGGATCTTGTCCTGTTTTCTTATCCTGGCCTCACATCTGGGGTAACATTGAGGGCAGGACTTACTAAGGAACTTCACACTCCAAGCAGCAAAGGCATGTCGTCTTGAACCCTCAGAGCAATTGCACAAGGCAAGCTTACTCCCATTTGACAGACAGCAAGACTGAAACAGAAGTAGCATAGCTAATTAGGGGTGGCCTTGAGTGTTTGATTAGCTCTAAAATGTGTAGTTTGGGTCAGCACTTCTCGGTGCTCAGGTAGAAGACCTGGACAGCATTCACTGCTGGCATGAGCAGTGAAGATTGCCATCCATCGCCATTGAATATGGCCTACTATATGTACAGCCAGTCACAAATGGAGAATTAATAAACACAGCTCTGTGCTGTTGCAAGTATTAAAACATTTCCAAGTCCACACAGCTGTAAACTTTATTAGAAGTTGTTTCAAAACAATCTTTCATCAAGGGAGAGAGTATTAATATGCCCCCAAGGCTTGTTTTCCCCTGCTTAGGGACTCCCATCTCATATTTTTAGTTTTTGCTGATTGGAATCTCGGTTGATCAGGGCACCATTAAGTAAACACCACACAAGCTTCCCATTAGCATTTCAGTCCTGCTCCTAGCACCAGGTAATTAGGCTCAAAGCCCCCATGCTAATAACTTCTCATGTTCCACTCTAAAGCAAACACATCCCTAGTGACTCCTTTGCAGAGCAGCGTGACAGTCTCCAGCAGCATGACCAGGGTGGTGAAGACACTGATTATTAAACATCTTCTCTTTGGCACAAACACTGTTTCTCAGTCCATGCAACAGTCCTTTCTGCATGACAGGAGTAGGCATTAACTTATTCAGAAAAAAAGTCTCTCTTTCAGTATTACTAGCATCATCTTTGGTTTAAGAGGTGTTCATGGTTTTCTGTGTATAAACCCATAGGGACACCAGGAACAGCATCCCATAGTGGCACCATATTAGGCCTGCCTGGGAGGTCAGGCAGATGTCAGGAGAATGTTTGAATCTACCCACTAAACACACTAGATAACGTGTGACGGAGATTTGACAAAACTTCATGCCTGCACATCTGAGGATGTAGCTCAGCTGGTAGAGTGCTTGCCTAGCGTGCACTAAGCTTTGAGTTTAATCCACAGCAACATAGATAGTAGGCATAGTGGTCCATGCCTACAATCCTAACAACAAGGAAGTGGGGATCAGAAATGCAAGGTCATCCTCTGCTACATGCTGAGTTCAACGCCAGCCTGGGCTTTGAGGCCTTGTCTCAAATATAAACACATCTGTCAGTCTAGACTGATTTAGTTCAGGTTGTAACCTCAGTGTCCATCTCTACAGTCCAGCACAGTCCCCCCCCACCCCACCCCCCGCCTTTCTCCACTCCTCATGCACAGAGGTGAACAATGCCTCCCAAATCCTTCCCTTTTTCCTGATTTTCTGTCTACTCACTTGTAGCCTTTCAGTGTTCATGAGTCAGTCTCTCTCCTTCCTTAGGGAGCACCCCAGGATATGGAGAGGAAGGGGAAGGTGACAAGAACATCTCCAGAAAGCCAGGCAATGTACTTAAGACCCTGGACCCCATCCTGATCACCATCATAGCTATGAGTGCCCTGGGGGTGCTCCTGGGTGCAGTCTGCGGAGTTGTGCTGTATTGTGCTTGTTGGCACAATGGGATGTCTGAAAGAAACCTGTCTGCCCTGGAGAACTATAACTTTGAACTTGTGGATGGAGTAAAATTGAAAAAAGATAAACTGAACCCACAGAGTAATTACTCAGAGGCATGAAGCACGGCGCTGGAGGGAGCACTGGAGGACAGCGGAGGTGCGGGACTCTTGCTCTGCTTTCACTGTAAGCTGGGAAGGGCGTCCATGACGCCACACCAGGCTTTTCTCAGGAGCTTCAATGAGCGTCACCACAGACACAAGCAGGTGACTGAGGTGACAACAGGAATCGTGTACAGCCCACTTTCTTCTCTCGGTTTCATTTGGGTAATCAGAAGCCAGTTGAGACTAAGTGTGACTGACTTCATGGTTCATCCTCTTTTCCCCCACCTTTATTTCTCTCTCTCTCCTTACCCTGTGGTGGATTCTTCTCGGAAACTGCAAAATCCAAGATGCTGGCACCAGGCATTGTTCAGTGGGCCCTTTTGATGGACATGTGACCTGTAGCCCAGTGCCCAGGGCATATTAGCATTAACTACATTTCGTGGGATGGCAACATCCACCTTTGCATCGCTACCTGCGGCGAGCACAGAAAAAAAAAAAAAAAAAAAAAAAAGAATCAGACTATTTTGTTTGCAAAGTACTGTGGCCTCAGTACCCATATAGCGTGTCCGCTCTGTTTACCAAGCAATATCAACAGATTTTCTTGATGTTTTCCAGTGTTGTACTGAATCTCGTGTTTGTGACCTCCACTCAGAATACCATACCGTGCAGCCACCAAACTACTGGCCCCGGGTGTCCCGCTGATGAGCACCACAAAAGTCCTCGGCACTGGCTAGTCTTCGTCCTCTCAAGTGCCTTTTTGTTTGTACTGGTTCCTTGTGTCCCGTGGATGAGCTACTCTGTTTCTGGTGAAAACCCTTCTCTTCAATCGGACCTGGTGGCCCACTGACTAAGAAGAAAGTATATTTTAGTGTGCGACGCCAACCCTGGGAAGGCAAGGGCTCTGAAGACCTGGCAATGTGGCGTGATCGTTCTGCTTTTTTCTGAAGTTCAATGTCATATCTCTTGACCCTTTGTATAAAGCTGCAATGTTCTCTCTCATTGTTCTTTCCTATGGAATGTATTTTCAGATGTAAACTCTTGGCTCTTTCCTTTCTCTGTTCTTTGTTTTTTTTTTTTTTTTTTTTTGTTTTGTTTTGTTTTGTTTTGTTTTTGTTTTTGTTTTTGTTTTTCCTCTCTCTCTTAGAATGGAAGCATTTGCCACTGCCATTAGAATGAACCTTGCAGCTTTAACCTGCTGGCAATGGCGAACAATTTTACTAGACTTTATGTTTTAAGATAATTAAGTAAGAGGAATTCCTAACTTTGTCCTCCAAAGTCTAACTTTGGGTTTCTTGTTAACTGGTTAAAGTGACAGTATCTTTTTTCCTTAAGCCATGTGCCCATCCATTCTGATTAGATTGATATTTGATATGAATGTTTGTGTCTAACGGAAGTCATAAGTTGAAAGAGAAAAGAATGCCAACTGGCTTTCAGATAAGAGCCACAGGAAGCACTGAATAAAATCTCCGAGTCTAAAAGGACCTGAAATTTTTACATCCAAATAATGAGCCCTGAGAACCTTCTGGCTTGTTATTGGATCAGAGGGGGAGAGTGAAAAGAACAGCTCATTTAAGAAATAAACAATAAATCTGATGCCTGAGGCAAAACTATGTTAAGACCAGGCAGAAGGGGCACATAAAATCAAAACAAATGTTTAGAACAACCCATTCAGCAGAACCTCTGAAAAAAAAAATAAATAAATGCTTCTAGAAACTTCCAAGGCCCATAAAGGAAAAAAAAAAAAAAAAAAAAAAAAGCCTATCTTAGGGCTGGCAAGACATAAGCCTCAACAGCACAAAGAGGTAAATAACTTAACACAGAGCAGCTTCCGGCTGGTGAATTTCTGTCTTGCTGAGCTGTACGCAAGAACCCCAAGCTCTCTCCTTTCCTTGTGTGGCTGTAGGTCTAACTCAGTTATGTTTCTTAGAGATCACCTTTGCTTCCCGAACAAACGGCTTGTTCACCCTGGTTTAATGGGATTGAGAATGTCTTTTTTCCAGGAAAGTATTGATCACTAGAGAGAGAGAGAGAGAGAGAGAGAGAGAATGTTTTTATTCCCAGGAGCATCTATTCACTTGTTATAATCGTACTGGGAGGAAAGCATTAAGTAAGACTTTGTTTCTAAGGCAACAGACTTTACCATTGTCCTCAGCCAAGGAAAAATGATACTGCAACTTTAAATTTTAAAGTACCTTGCACTGATAAATATATTTAAAAGTTATATGTTTATAAAGTTATTAATTTGTAAAGGCAGTGTTACAAAATGTTCAGTTTATATTGTTTTAGATTCTTTCGTAATTTTTAAAGGTGTAAAATAACATATTTTTTCTTTATTGAAATCTATAAGACTTTCTGTAGTAAGATGTCTCATTTTATGGTATCTTATTGCTTCATGTTTTGTACCCTCATAAAATTTTGTGCAAATTTTTTTTACAGAAATTTTTATTTTCTATGATAATATGTATGACACTTGTAAATTGTTGTTTCAAAATGAACAGCGAAGCCTTAACTTGAAATGACATTTGTATTCTCTGAGTAGCATAAAAACCACCTAGAATGAACTGTAACTTAAGCTCCAAACTACACATTCCAAAGAAGCAGTTGAATTAAACATTTTCATAAAAATCTTAAACCTGATGGCTGTTGTTCCATTAGCTCTGTTCTTGTTAAAGATACTGGGGTCAGACCACTTTCTGGGACTTTTCAGGATTTAAGTTATCTTTTCAAACTAATCTCACAGTGGATAGAGAGCAAGGAGATGCTTTCCGAGATGGGAAGCTGAAACCAGCACTTTAGAGCTGAGCGAGACAGAACTGGTCTCTAAGTGGACATTTTCCCACCCAAATTCTATCGGTTTTTATATCCACATGGTGAAGTTGGTTTTATGATATTAACAGATTGCTATTGGTGAGTTTTGCCTCTGTAAGAAATAGGTAGGGAATGCATACTAAATTTAGGGAAAGGGGAAAACTGAGCATGGTGTTGGGGAAATGAAATGCCTATTCCTTTGGGAACCAAAACAATAGAAAAAATAGTGACATGACAGCCTCCCTGAGCCCAAAAAGGACAAAAAGTGTTGCGCCAAAACATGTTAACTAGATCCTCTAGAAAGCCTGTCACAACAGTGCTAGCAGAACCCCTCCCCAACTCCACAAGGGTTACTTGTCTGCCCACCTCAAGGGCAGAAAACCTCAGCCCAGAGAGTACTGGACTATGGCCTGCACCCCATGCTCCAGCCAGGAAGTCATGTTTCCTCTACTGCCTGCTTTCCTGGGTACTAAAACCATCTCCCAGGACTTACCCAAGAATACAGAATGCGCCCTTCTGTGTGTGTTTTTAGGTCTTTACCTAGAAAGAAAATAAAATCAGGTAGTCCCTTCACTGAAATTAAATTCTACTGACATTCAAGGACATTTCCAGAAAACACGATGCATGCAAGCAAGCTGTTTATCAGAATTAATCTAGATAGGTTTTATTTATTTCAGTTTGGTTTTGTTGTTTGCTTTTTTGTTTTGTTTTGTTTTTGAGGTAGGGGCTCATGTAGCCCAGGCTAGCCTCACTATGCAGCCTTGAATTTCTGATCCTCCTACCTCTGCCTCTGAGGTGATGAGAGGTATATGCCAGGTTTATACAGAGTTAAAGATGGAACACAGAACTTCATGCATGCTAGGTAAGCACTCTGTCAGCTGAGCCCCAGCCCCTAAACATTGTTCTAGAGCAATGCGAGGACCACGGGGCTTACTGTCTCTGTTTCTTTTGAGGCTTTAAACTCGGAAGCTTCTCATTCCTTTCTTCTCCCTGGATGGTAGTTGAGCTAAGCATTGCTTTTTGTTTAATAAATCACTGTATGATACTTCTCAAATTTTTGAGTTAAAACATCATGAGGATTGACACACTTAATTTAAACATGAAAATTATTTACTGTCCTGTTTCCTGTGTGTCTTGATAACTTACTGCCACTGAGGCTGAATGTATTATCCATGCAAATCAAAGACATTGCCTAATGTTTCCATTTGGTAATTCTTCTGGGGTCACTCATATATACTATCATATCATCTGCAAATAGTGATAATTTGACTTCTTCCTTTCCCATCTGTATCCCCTTGATCTCCTTCAACTGTCTTATTGCTCTAGCAAGGACTTCCAGCACTATGTTGAAGAGATATGGAGACAGTGGGCAGCCTTGTCTTGTCCCTGATTTCAGTGGGATTGCTTTAAGTTTCTCTCCGTTCAGTTTGATGTTGGCTATAGGCTTGCTGTAAATCGCCTTTACTATGTTTAGATATGTGCCTTGTATCCCTGATCTCTCCAGTACTTTAAACATGAATGGATGTTGGATTTTGTCAAATGCTTTTTCAGCATCTAGGGAGATTATCATGTGTTTTTTTTTTCTTTCAGTTTGTTAATATGGTGGATCACATTGATGGATTTCCGTATATTGAACCACCCCTGCATACCTGGGATGAAGCCTACGTGGTCATAGTGGATAATATCTTTGATGTGTTCTTGGATTCGGTTTGCAAGTATTTTGTTAAGTATTTTTGCATCAATGTTCATAAGGGAGATTGGCCTGAAATTCTCTTTCTTTGTTGAGTCTTTGTGAGGTTTAGGTACCAAGGTGATTGTGGCTTCATAGAATGAAGTTTGGTAATGTTCCTTCTGTTTCTATTTTGTGGAATAGTTTGAAGAGAATTGGAGTTAGCTCTTCTTTGAAGGTCTGGTAGAATTCTGCGCTGAAGCCATCTGGTCCTGGGCTTTTTTTGGATGGGAGACTTTTGATGACTGCTTCTATTTCTTTGGGGGTTATAGGACTATTTAATTGACTTACCTGGTCCTGATTCAGCTTTGGTAAGTCAAATCGATCAAGAAAATTGTCCATTTCATTTAGGTTTTCAAATTTTGTTGAGTATAGACTTTTGAAGTAAGTCCTAATGATTGTTTGGATTTCCTCAGTGTCTGTAGTTATGTCCCCCTTTTCATTTCTGATTTTGTTGATTTGGGTGGTGTCTCTCTACCTTTTAGTTAGCTTGGCTAAGGGTTTGTCAATCTTGTTGATTTTCTCAAAGAACCAGCTCTTGGTTTCATTGATTCTTTGAATTGTTTTATTTGTTTCTAATTGATTGATTTCAGCCCTGAGTTTGATTATTTCCAGCCATCTACTCCTTTTTGGTGTGTCTGCTTCTTCTTTTTCTAGGGTTTTTAAGTGGGCCATTAAGTTGCTTGAATGAGCTGTCTCGAATTTCTTCTTGAAGGCACTTAGTGCTATGAACTTTCCTCTTAGCACTGCTTTCATTGTGTCCCACAAGTTTGGGTATGTTGTGTCTTCATTTTCATTGAGTTCTAGAAAGGCTTTAATTTCTTTCTTTATTTCTTCCCTGACCCAGCTGTCATTTAGTAACAAGTTGTTCAGTTTCCATGTGTGTGTAGGCTTTTTGCTATTTCTGTTGTTGTTCAAGTCCAGCTTTATTCCATGGTGATCAGACAGGATACAAGGGATTATTTCAGTCTTCTTGTATCTGTTGAGGCTTGCTTTGTGACCAACTATATGGTCTATTTTGGAAAAGGTTCCATGAGGTGCTGAGAAGAAGGTAAATTCTTTTGTGTTTGGGTGTAAAGTTCTGTAAATGTCTGTGAGGTCCATTTGATTCATGACCTCTGTCAGAGATATTGTTTCTTTGTTTAATTTCTGTTTTGTTGACCTGTCCTTTGTTGAGAGTGGGGTGTTGAAGTCTCCCACTATTAATGTGTGGGGATCTATATGTGGTTTAAATTTTATCAATGTTTCTTTTACAAATGTGGGTGCTCTTGTATTTGGGGCATAGATGTTCAGGATTGTGATGTCTTCCTGGTGTAATTTTCCCTTGATGAGTATGAAGTGTCCTTCCTCATCTCTTTTTATTAATTTTGGTTGAAAGTCTATTTTATCAGATATTAGAATGGCTACTCCTGCTTGTTTCTTGGGTCCATTTGCTTGGAAAGTCGTCTTCCAAACTTTTACCCTCAGGTAATGTCTATCTTTGTGTCTTAGGTGTGTTTCTTGTATGCAACAGATTGCTGGGTTTTGTTTACGTATCCATTCTGTTAATCTGTGTCTTTTTACTGGAGAGTTGAGTCCATTGATGTTGAGAGAGATTAATGACCAGTGGCTGTTAGATCCTTTGATTTTGATGTTGGCTGTGTTCATAAGGTTGTGTGCTTGGTTGCTTTTTGTTTTGCTGTAGTAAGGTTAATTATTTCCTGTGTTTTCTTGACAGAAGCTAATTTTCTTGGGTTGTATTTTCCCTTCCAGTGTCTTATGTAATGCTGGATTTGTGTGTAGGTATTGTTGAAATTTGTTTTTGTCATTGAATATCTTGTTTTCTCTGTCTATGAGGACTGAGAGTTTTGCAGGGTATAGTAGCCTGGGTTGACATCTGTGTTCTCTTAGGGTCTGCATGATATCTGTCCAGGCCCTTCTGGCTTTCATAGTTTCTGTTGAAAAGTCAGGTGTGATTCTAATGGGTTTGCCATTATATGTTACTTGGCCTTTTTCCCTTGCAGCTTTTAGTATTTTTTCTTTGTTCTGTATACTTACTGTTTTGATTATTATGTGGCGGGAGGATTTTCTTTTCTGGTCAATTTTGTTGGGTGTTCTGTAGGCCTCATGTATCCTTATTGGCTTCTCCTTTAACTTGGGGAAATTTTCTTCAATGATTTTGTTGAAAATATTTTCTGGGCCTTGGAGAAGGGAGTCTTCTTTTTCCTCTATTCCTATTATTCTTAGATTTTGTCTTTTCATATTGTCTTGGATTTCTTGGACGGTCTGTGTCATGAATTTTTTGGATTTAACATTTTCTTTGACAGATACGTCGATTTCTTCCATTGTATCTTCTACACCTGAGATTCTTTCTTCCATTTCTTGTATTCTGTTGGTTATGCTTACCTCTGTAGTTCCTGTTTTCTTCCCTAAATTCTTCCTCTTCATTATTTCCTCCATTTGTATTTTCTTTAATTTTTCTAGTTCTATCTTCAGGTCTTGAGTTGTTTTGTTTACTTCCTTCACCTGTCTGCTTGTATTTTCCTCTTTTTCTTTTAGTTCCTTCAGCTCTGTCTCTTTTATTTCTTTCAGTGATTTATTTATTTCTTCTCTGAAGGCCACAAGCTGTTTGGCTGCATCTTCCCGTATTTCTTCACGGATGACCCTAATCTGCTTGTCTTTATCTTCCTCCATTTCTTTACGGATAGCCATGATCTGTTTGGTTTTATCTTCCTCTAATTCTTTACATATTTTATTTGTTTCCTCTATTATCCTCTTCATCAACATAGATGTAAGGTCATCTTCTTGATTTTCTATTATGCTGCATTGTTCAGGGCTGTTCGCCTCTGGATGGCTGGGTTCTGGAGATGCCATATTGCTCTGTCTTTTGTTGGTTGAGCCTTTACGCTGACCTCTACCCATTGGGCTGATTTAGGTGTTGGCTGTTAGTTTCTGTGCTTCCTGGAGTCCTGAGGTAGGGAGTATCCCCTTTGCCAGAAGATGATTTTTCCTGAAGGAGTCCTTCTCTGCTTTTTGGTTATGGTCACTGTATGGCCAGTGTTTCTCCAGAGTTGCCACTGCTCATCTCAGGTTTATAGCCCTGAGTAGTAGCTGTGGTCTA